CTTTTAGTTATTTTTCCCACTTAATAGAAAACCATACATGATTGCTTTATCTTGAAGTTGATTTTCTCTAAAACCTTGAAATACTAGATTATTTGGTGACCTTTAAAAATATCTAGCTCCATTTATTATAGCTTTCAAGGAGTCCAATTTAATATATCTGGGAAAGACCCAACTCTGTGATTTTCTCTGAAAGGAGAATTATGTAAATTATCATGTATAACAACTTGTATACTATTTTAGTAAATGTTATTTTCCATTTTATTTTTAAAAATTAAAACAGAATTTGAAAAGATGTGCCACTAATTTTAATTGAAGGGATATTTTGCCTTGTGTTCTCTCTGTTCAATTTTTTTATGCTGTTAAGGAATTTTTATGGTTATTACTCAATTTAATCAGTCTAAAAATTTTAATATTATATACTTATGTATATACTTCAAAATTATTCCAGATTTTGAATAGATTCCTACAAAGAGAAAAAAATAAAGTTAATAAAGAACAGAAATACACTTCTCTGAATTTCATATGGCTATCAAGACTTATTTTATTCAGATTCTCTTAATTCAGTCCCTAGAACCAGATGAAGAGTCTAATATTATAGTTTATAAAGGTGATAATACATTCACTTCTATCTGAACAATGCTAGCCACAGCCAAATATATAGATTTTTTTCCTACAATGGAATCTTCTTATTCCAGTGCTCCCACAATACCTTTGCCTCAAAAAGTAATTCAATTGAAAAAGACGTTGTGTACCTAAAGCTCATGTGGCTTAGATTATAATTTTGAGCCTTGCTTTGGCCATATTTTAATGAGACACTGATTTTCTAGATTAATATATTTCTTATTCTGGGCTAAAATATCTTATGCACACTCATCAAAGTACAGAATGAAATCAAGAAGCAATATGAGTTTTAAAATTATATTTACATTTTAATGGCAAGTTTTTTTAGGTTTACCTCATGTGACCCTCCTCTCTCTTCCCAGCACACAGCCCCAGCTTTCTAATTTCCTTTTCTAATAAATGGCATTGCTACATATTTTAAATTGAGACTTTGAAAACCCTAAGGTGGCATGCCAACCTATCTGCTAGGTTCCCAAAGGAACTTTTATTTTGTAATTTTATATTTTGCTATCTTATCTGGTTTAATTTTCATGTTATTTTTTATCTTTCATTGGCTTATATTCATTTAAAAAACTGTTCAAGGATCAATAAATCCAGGAGCTGGTTCTTTGAAAAGATAAACAAAATTGACAAACCTTTAACCAGATTCATCAATGATAAAAGAGAGATCCAAATAAATAAAATCAGAAATGAAAGAGAAGTTACAACTGATACCACAGAAATACAAAGGATTGTAAGAAATTATTATGAACAACTATACACCTAGAAATTGGGCAACCTGGATGAAATGGACAAATTTCTAGAAACACACACTCTGCCAAAACTAAATCCAGAAGAAGCAGAAAGTCTGAATAGACTGATGACAACTAATGAAATTGAAGCAGTAATCAAAAAACTCCCAGCACACAAAAGCCCTGGACTGGATGGCTTCACAGGGGAATTTTATGAAAATTTCAGGAAGAACTAACTCTTGTCCTTCTCAAACTGTTCCAAAAAATTCAAGAAGAAGGAAGACTCCCAAACTCTTTATATGAGGCCAGTGTTATCCCAATCCCAAAACCAGGTAAAGAGACAACAAAGAAAGAAAACTAAAGGCCAATATCTCTGATGATCATAGATGCTAAAATCTTCAACAAAATACTGGCAATCCAGATTCAGAAATGCATTAAAAGATCATACAACATGATCAAGTGGGACTCGTCCTAGGAATGCAAGGATGGTACAATATTCACAAATGTAATATACCACATAAATAAAACAAAGGACAAAAAGCACATGATCATATCATGAATGTTGAAAAAGAATTTGGTAAGATCCAGCACCCACTTATATTAAAAACACTCAGCAAAATGGGAATAGAGGGAGCATACCTCAACATAATAAAATCCACATATGAGAAACCTACAGCCAACATTATATTCAACAGGCAAAAACTAAAAGCTTTCCTCTTAATATCAGGAACAAGACAAGAGTGTCTACTCTCACCGCTCTTATTCAACATAGTACTTGAAGTTTTAGCCACAGTGATCAGACAAGAAGAAGGAAAAAAAAGACATCCAGATTAGAAAGGAGGAAGTAAAACTGTCATTATTCCCAGATGACTTGATAGTGTACATAGAAACTCCATAGTCTCCACCAAAAAACTACTCAACTATATAACTGAATTTGGCAAAATGGTGGGATACAAAGTCAATATTGAGAAATCAATGGCATTTTTGTACACCAACAAATCAGAAAGAGAAACTGGGGGAAAATCCCATTTACTATAGCAATAAGAAAAATAAAGTACCTAGGAATAAATTTAATGAAGGAGGTAAACGACCTGTACTCAGAAAACTATAGAACACTGAAGAAAGAAAGGAGGGTACAAATAAATGGAAGCATATACCTTGTTCATGGATTGAAATGTCATCATTAAAATGTCCATACTACACAAAGCAATCTATAGATTCAACAAAATTCCTATTAAAATACTAATGGCATATTTCACACAGCTAGAACAAATATTTCAAAAATTTATATGGAACCAAAAAAGACCCTGAATAGCCTCGACAACCTTAAGAAAAAATAACAAAGTAGGAGGGGTAACAATACCTGATATAAAACTATACTACAAGTCCACTGTAATCAAAACAGTGTGGTAGTGGCATAAGAACAGATACACACATCATTAAAACAGAATAGAGAACCAAGAAATAAACCCATGTCTCTATGGTCAATTAATATTTGATGAAGGGGGCATGGGCTTACAATGGAGTAAAGATAGTCTATTTAATAAATAGTGTTAGGAGGACTGAACTTGTACATGCCAAAAAATGAAACTAGAACACCAACTTACACCATACACCAGAATAAACTCAAAATGGATAAAAGACTTAAATTTAAGCTGTGACACCATAAAAATCCTAGAGAGAAACATATGCAGGAAAATTTCAGATATCCCACATAGCAATATTTTTTGCTGATATATCTCCTAGGGCAAGGGAAATAAATAAAGGAAAAAATAAACAAATGGGACTACATCAAACTAAAAAGCTCCTGCACAGCTAAAGAAACCATCATCAAAATGAAAAGGAACTGACTGTATGAGAGAGCATATTTGACAGTGATACATGGGACAAGGGTTTAACCTCCAAAATATATAAAGAACTAACATGACTCAACACCAGGAAGACAATCCAATTAAAAATAGGTTCTTCAAGGAGGACATATAGATGGCCCATAGACATATGAAAACATGCTCAACATCACTAGCCATTAGAGAGATGCAAATTAGAAACACACTAAAATATCATTTCATACCTGTCAGAATGGCCATCATTAGTAAATCAACAAACAAGTGCTGGTAAGGATGCGGAGAAAAGGGAACCCTAGTGCACTGTTGGTGGGAATTCAGACCAGTGCAGCCACTGTAGAAAACAGTATAGAATTTCCTCAAAAAACTAAAAATGGAGCTGACTTTAGACTTGGCAATTCTGCTTTTGGGAATGTACCTTAAGAATCCAGAGTCACCAATTCAAAAGAACCTATGCACCCCTATGTTCATAGCAGTGCTATTTACTATAGTCAAGTGCTGGAAACAGCCAAAGTGCCCATGAGTATATGAGTGGATCAAAAAAACTGGTACATTTACACAGTGGAATACTATGCAGCAGAAAGAAGGAACTCCTACCTTTTGAGTCAGCATGGATGGATCTGGAGAATATTATGCACAGTGAAATAAGCCAGGTGGTAAAAGACAAACACCATATGATCTCACCTGTAAGTGGAATCTAATGAACAAAATAAACTAACGAACAAAATAGAACCACAGGCATGGAAACATGGAGCAGACTGAAAATGAGAAGGGGGTTGGGCGGAGGGGACAATCGCAGGCGGAAAGGGAAGGGACTAGACAAAGATCATGTATGAATGACCCACGGACACGGACAACAGTGTGGGAACGGACTGTGCGAGTGGGGGGTGGGCTGGGTGGAGGAGGGCAAAGGGGGAGAAATAAGACAACTGTAGTAGAATAACAATAGAAATGATTAAAAAACTGTTCAATATCATTAAGTACTTCATCTTTCAGTTAGATGATTTTGTATTTAATTATGAGAAAAGAGAATGGAACTCTTTCAGATTATCACAAGTGATATGGAGAGTTGAAAACAATTTATAGTTAATTATGAGCTTAGTTGGGGGGTTAATTAATTTCTATGTGGGTTACATAGAAGATGGATTTTTAACATGTACTATTAAATTAATATTAACTCATTTTATACATATAAGATTTAGGCACACACACAGCTCACAATCTAAAACATCTGATTTTTGTTATATCAGTATTGTTCTATCAGTGTTGTTCTATTCCTGACTTTTTATTTTGCATTTAAACTGAATTGCTTTTAAAGGATTTTATCATATCAGTTGTCACAAGTTAGACTGTAAATCTTCATAATATTTCATATTAATATTGTTTGACATGGTCTGAATGTCTGTCAAGTTTTTCCAACTCTGTTTCAGCCCTGTCACTTGTTTTTGTTTTGTTTTGTCATATGTTATAAAAGAACTAAATAACTTGTTTTATTTGCAAAACCCAGTCAGCAGTTTTTCCACTGCCTGTTCAAGCTCCAGCTTAATGGCCCAGACTAAATACTTGTGACAATGAAGTTAGGGGAATGAATGATGGATCTGTGTAGCAACTAGAGCTTTAACCTCTAACTAGCTTTCATTTTTCATCTTTGCAATTTCCATTTCCTCTTTTTATTGAACTAAGTTGAGTTGAAAATAAATGGATACTCCTGCACATCCTGTGAGCTCTTCTGAGAAGAGCATTGGCCTGTGAATGATACTGTTAATAATTTTTTCATGTTTTTTCTCTCTCTCTTTTCTTCTAGTCTCGACCTATCCCTTCCCACCTTACTTCAGCAGTTGCAGAGAGTATCTTGGCATCAGCCTGTGAGAGTGAGAGTAGAAATGCCGCCAAGAGGATGCGCCTGGATAGACAACAGGTACCTAGGAGTCTTGTGGTCTGGTGCACAACAGCTTGAGCAAATATGGTCAATTTAGTTCGATTTATGTAGAAGAGCAAAAACGGTTTACTGGATTTTGAAGTTCACAAAGATGGAGTTTTTGTGTCTTTATAAGAATTTAAACTTGAAAATGCATGTTCATGAGGTCAATGGAGATCTAACAACAAAAATGTTCTGTGGTGAAAAGAGGACACTTGTGAAATTAATGTTATAATTCTGTTTAACATCCTATTTGAAGGCTAATTATCTAAAGAAGGGGTTCTAAATGATCACTTACAGTAGTTTTGTAAATTTACCTGATTAGTTATGAGAGAGAGCTGATTGTGTTCATTTTTAATGGACATCATCTTTAATTCCCTGTGGTCTGACTGCTAAATGTCAGTATGTTGTGCTGGGAATGGGAAAAGTACAACATAATTTGAAAGATAAGAAATCCATGAAATGAGAATATAAAGTAATGAAAATCTATATCCTAGACTTACTTCCTCATTAACGAATCATTTACTATTTACCCACTAACTATCAACTTTCTGTGTCTCTTTTCTAAGGCTCTATATCCATGTGGTGTGGATGTGTATATTTTTTGTTCATTGTTCATTGATGTTTCACTCAGTTTTTCCCTTGGTTTATCTACATCTATCTGTCTCCCCTCATTGTGTCTGGTATGTCTGTCTTTGTTTTCTTTTTCTCTCCACCCCTCTTTCTTAATTATTTTCATAATAAAGACCTATTTTATAACATAAGTTAAATATTACATGTAAAAGTATGCTGTAATCTGACTTTTGAATTATTTTTACAACACATGATCTGAGTACTTAATATTTCTAATTGAGATTGGGATGAGAAGATTAAATGGTTAATCCAATTTTGTGTGTCCTGTGAGCCAATGAGCTTGAAAGAAAATAGAAAAATAGTAAAAAAAAGTTTTTCTATTCCAAGTTTAGAATATTGAAAAGTTTATTCAGAATGGCATTATTTGTAAATTGTATGGGCTTATTATTAACAGGGCATGTGGTAATAATTTTAAACAATGCAAAAGATGAAGCCTTTAGTTAAATAAAAAATTGTATAAGTCTCAGATAAAATGTATATGAAGAAGCTGATTTTGAATATGTTAATAGTTCTTTGCCAACAATATTTATTCATATATTTGTATTCCCAGTTGAGATTTTTATCCTTATTAAACTCTAAAATTAATTTAATTAAAATGAGTTATAGCACTATACAGGGTAAGACAAAAGTAGGTTTACAGTTGTGAGTGTGCAATTCATTCTTGTATTATTATTTATTAATTATTGTATTACTTTTTATACAAACAACTGTAAACCCACTTTTGCCCACTCTCACATTTAGCATAGTGCTTGAGATTTGACATTGTGGAGTTAAATACACCTGGGTTTGATTCTTAGCTCTACTCTTATCAATTGTGTGAACTTCAGACAACTATTTCAATTCTCTCTGGCTCAGTTTCTTCCTATGCAAGATAACAAGAATAGCAATGCTAGTCCTACAAGGTTGTTGTGAGAACTCTAAATGACAGATTTATGTTATGTACTTAGCATTTTGCCTGGCACATAATAAGCATCAATGAATTCAGCCTAGAAGAGAAGATTTTAACTGATGTTCTAGCCTTTCTGTTGTATTGATATAAGTAAAACTAAAAAAAAAAAAGCATTAATAGTACTATCTCTTACATAGGAGTTTAAAACTCAGACTAAATCTATCTGAGAGATCATAATTCTAGAAGTTGAGATGGCAGAATTGTGGGATTAAGTGGGCTTTCTTGGTTGTCATCTTGCCAAATGTCTGCATAGTCTGTACTTTAGAATGTTCGTGCATAGTATCAGTGATGTAGAGTTGTTACGACTGATTCATGTTATGTACTGACTTATGATATCACTCTGCAGTATCCCCTAAAGCTGGTCTTCCACCAACATGTAGTCAGTTACTTAACCACTGCTGGCCTAATCTGTAAAATGGGGATACAAAATATCAAATTCATAGATTTACCTAGAAGATTTAATAAGGCAGTGCATGTGAAAGCACAGTGTGTTTAATAAGTTTATATATTGTTAGATATATTATATTCATCATTGACTTAAATACCTCAAGTGGCAGGGAAATCCCATCTCTAAAGTACTAAAGATCTAGTATTTACTAAAACACGTGTTCAATTGTCAGACAGCTATAATCATTATGATGGTCTTTAAATTGAGCTCACTTTGCTTCCTAGAGCATCGATCCATTGAAGAAAAATTGCTAGCAATAATGAGTGTGACTCCTTACTATCGTCCTGGGAGTAGGGATGAGAAAGGGTGGGGAGCAATGGTCCTTGACCCCACTTCCCATATTAACTATTCTTTTCCTATGTCTTCATACACTGTGGTCGTTTATTGCAGGGCTCTGTCACCTGAGAAAGTGGGTTGTCCAATATTGCTCCCCCACAGTGATGTTCTATCCTTTGCGCTTCTGCTCACAGTGTTTCTGACAGTACAGTTTTCTGTTGGAAACAGAAATATTTTTGCACTCTTTCATAACTAGCAAACCAGGTTTCCCCAGGAAGCAACGTTATTCCAAGAATGATGTCTTTGTCACAGTATGAGCTGGAAAGAGGTCAAAATCTGCCCGAAGTGCTTCATGTCAGCCCGCGAATTGGTTGTGCACTGTGAACACTGGTTTAGGCAAGGGTTTTGTTCTGAACTCTAATAAAGATATTTTAAAATATCTAAACTCCTTCTTCTTACTATGAATTCTATCAATTTCATTTGGAATGCCACATAAAGGCTTCCACCAAGTGATTTTGCACTCCCACCACAGCAAGGAGATGGGAAGCATCCTCTCCTAACTGGATCTGAGCCCTCCTTTTGCCCAAGTAGAGTCAGGCAGAGTTCTTTCGGGTGTCAGCAAAGAGATCATCTTTTGCTGTGAGCATTCTTCCTTAATTTATTTATTTATTTTTTCAAATACCTTTGTCTCTGCCTTCCCCCCACCACTTTCCCTTGCCCCCTCCCCCCTCCCTCCCTCAATCCTTCCCCTTTGGCTTTGTCCATGAGACTTTGCTCTATGTTCCCTGACTTTCCCCTTCCCTTCCTTTTCCCCCGCCCCCCATCCTTCCCTCTGCTGTGAGCATTCTTAACCCAACTCATAATTGTTAGAATTTGCCAATGACTCAGAGATTCTTCCTTGTGCCCCCGCCTTTCTGTAGGTACATGGAAGTTAAAAAACTGGACAGTTAAAACCTGGATTCTGTTAAGCCACACATCTGACTGCTTGCCATCCATGGTTAGCCACATCTAGGGCGATTAATGTGTATGTCTTTCCGTGTTTAAGCAGCTTGGTGAATTAATTGGATTTTATAATGCTCTTCTAGCTATGAAAATGAAAGGTGTTATAGATGTGTTCACGCCTTATTTCCTAAGTCCAGCTTGCACCAGAGTTCGGACGAGGCTTGTTGTTATGCAGCCTCAGCCCTGAAGCAAACCAGTGGCAGGGACAGGTGCCTTTGCTTCACCAGGAATAACATTTCACAGACATGAGGTCAGTCTGCAGTGCTTTATAGAATATATTCAGCCTTGCTTTTCTGTTAACATGAAAATCTAGGATTTTTATAACATCTAGGATATTCTTCCACCCTCTGACAATTGAAAAAGATGGGCAAGGTCAGACTTCATTTTCATAATCCTATGGCATTTAAAAATTGTCTTTTCTTTGCCTTTAGTGTTTGGACATTCTTTCATTACTGTTTCCTTAAAAACAAAGATATCTCAATGTTCTTGGTTACAATTTATCTAAATAGACAGAGGCAGAAAGTGAGAGAGATTACAACCAGCGACTTGCTGGTGATTTATCTCCCATCTGTTTGCTATTTTTGAGACGACATATATTTTATTCCTAGGCTGGATGATGTTTATGAATAATGTGAAGATTTCTTCTGTGTCTTTTCTCTATTTGGTGCTTTTTGTTAAATTAGGGTGTAGTTCTATGGATGGAATCACATTAAATCAATGGTCAAGGGCTTCCACAGCAGCAACAGCCCTCATGAAGGACAGTGCAGCCTGAGTTCAGGGAGGCACTGTGGTGACGAGGACACATGGGCCATCAATGGTAGTGTGTGATGTGACACTTTGACTCCACTGAAAAGAACACTGGGTAGGGCAAGAGCAAACGGCACGTTACTTGCTTGTGTCATAATAAAAGGTGAGGAAGCAGGAAAAAAAAAACACTGAAAACTGATGTATCACTAAATGACAAAACAAAATCACTGCTAGTAAACCAGCATGAAACCATGGGCCCAGGATGTAAAAATCTTCAGTAAGCGCATCGTCCCACTCCTCTGCTTTCCACAGCAGCGGTGAGTTAGTTCAAGGCGACCTGTATCTCGTCATGATTTCTCCTTTGTTGTGCTAGGGTACTGAGGAGTGGGCATGTTACTAAAAGCAATGTAATTGCTGTAGGTACCAATTTTAAGATATAGCCAGATAAGTGCCATGTTAGTTTTTATACAGACGTTTCAGCCATACATTCAAACAATGTCATAGTAACTGACATTTACCTGGAAACCTCTTTCTGTTGCCTTCAGCCCCACCCCCAAGCCCCTGTTCTCAGTTATCCTCAGCTTTTCTTCTCCTCCTAGCCTTTTTCCTTTCTTATATACAATACTTTGGAGAAAAACCTCTATCTCTGAGTCTTTCAACATATGTTTCAGGGTAGCCCTTTTATCCAAAAAAGAAAATATACTGTATAAGAAAAACAAAGTACTGTCTATGGTAATTCTTGGACTATATTGTCTTTCCTTTGTAACACATTTAATTTTAAATTGTTTGAGATAGAATGTACTTCCCAAGTGATCTCAGTGGAACAGGCCTTATTTTGCTCATTAATAATAACACCAATAACAACAGCATTAGCAGAAGCGTTTATGGGTGTATCACTGGGCAAGGTGTTTCGCAAGTATTTATTTGGTGTAGTTGGCATAACTT